GTACTTAAGTTATAGTGCTTGTGTAGAGGGGATAATGTCAAACAGGAAAACCCACAGAACTGAAATGTGTGGTACATACTAAGAATTCGAGATTGTAAAATGCATCTGGACTATCCATTGTGGAATAATTTAGTATACCAGAGTCCCTGTGCGTCATAGGCACAAGTACATGATTACCAGATTGTCCAAAATCTAATTTGGGGGGAAAAAGGGAGGGAAGAGTGATTATGTAAGTCATGTATACATAGCAGCAGCAACTTGCTAATGTCACTAATGACTCACAGGCCTCTTGTGAATTAAAGGTCAATTAGTATATGAATAAATACAAGTGTTAAAAGAATACGACAAGGACGTGATCACACAAATGTGTATCACTATAGACTAAAGGCCCTAGTTAATTAAAATGTTGCCTGCAGCATATTTTAACAGCTTTCTGTGATTACTGCTAATCATACTCTGAAATCTGTGGCTAGTTCCCATTTTTAACTCAATTGTCAATAAATTTGGAAAAAAGTTGCTGAGGCATACAAGCCAAAAATTTCTCTATAATGGAAATGCACAGAGAATCAATAATTTAAACTAAGGAAGGCAATATTACCAAATAGAATTACTACCTATAAAGAAATACAATTTATAAGCATCAGTTTTTAAAGTAACATTATATAGCAGAAGTTAGGCAGCTTAAAAGTATAATTGCACCTGTTGTGCTGAGGTGCTTTAAGTGCTAACTTCCTGAATCGATAGCAAATCAGTATTTAACTGCTTTAAGATTTGGTTCCCAAATAGGCACAACAAGGGTTCTCGTACCAATAGTCTAAAGGAGGTAACCTATAGGCAGAGGTTGAAAAATGTGGGGAGCCTGGGTGGCTCAGTCAGTTAAGTGTCCGACTTCCGCTCAGGTCATGATCTTGCGGTTTGTGAGTTCGAGCCCCGCGTCGGGCTCTGTGCTGACAGCTCAGAGCCTGGAGCCTGCTTCGGATTCTGTGCCTCCCCCTCTCTCTGCCCCTCCCATGTTCATGCTCTGTCTCTGTCTCTCAATAATAAATAAATGTTAAAAAAAGAAAAATGTATCTAATTGAGTGATGAACTAGATAATCAGCCTGAAGGAGACAGGATAGGTTGAGCAGCGTGTAAAATGCACAGGTTACCATATTTAAATAGGACACCAGTCCACCATTATACCCCCACTGGTGACATATGCAGTGGATGAGCAATAACATATATTTTTTTATTTCTTTAAGTGTTTTATATTCTGACACTGATATTATTCACCTCAGTAAAATCTATTATATTTTATTGACATGGGGATTAATTCACATTAATTAGATTTCTCTTTATACATTCTTTCATTAAATGGTACTCTTCTCCCTGTTAGAATATCAGGTCATCATTTCAAAGGAGGAGGAGGAGTGCCTGCCTGGCTCAGTTAGTGGAGCATGCAACTCTTAATGCTCTTGATGTCAGGGCCGTGAGTTCAAGTCCCACTAGGCATCGAGCTACTTAAAAAAATAAAATAAAAAAGGGAGAATAAGGGGAGAAGCAGCAGCAGACACAGGACTAAAAGAGATGTTTTAGGCAGGCTGTGTCCTTGTCTCTTATCCTAACCTTGATCAGAAATGGTTTTATATAGGGGTGCCTGGGTGGCTTAGTTGGTTGGGTGTCCTACTCTTGATTTTGGCTCAGGACATGATCCCAGGGTTGTGGGATCAAGCCCCATGTTGGGCTCCACGTTGAGCGTGGAGCCTGCTTAAGAATCTCTCTCCCCCCCTCCGTTCCTCTCTTCCACTCATGCACACATTGTCCCCCCCCACCAAAAAAAGTTTTATATAATGATAGCTATATATATATATATATATATATATATATATATATATATATATATATATATATATATAGTTATATAGCTATCTCTTCTAAGTGTTTTATCATTATGATGTTAATTAAAATTCTTAAATTGTGAATATGCTTCACTCGAAATAAATATTCCAGATTCTGGAATGATACAAAATATATATGAAGGAGTGGTTCATCTTTTCCTCCTCTTCCTTTATCCCTAACTTCTTTTTTTCTTCTTACTTCCTCCCCTTTTTCTGCCACCATCATCATCTTCATCACCATAGCAACAAACATTGCTGAGCCCATATTGCCAGGCAATTTATATATATTAAGACATTAGAAAAATCTATAAGCCAGCTATATTATCTACATACTGCAGATCAGGAAACTGACCAAACTCATATACTTGGGGTATTCTAGAGCTGGGTTTCAAGCCCAGACCAGGTGAATCAGGGATTCCTCTTTTTATCACTTATACTTATCATTCACGCTTGCTTTAGGAAAGAATTCGTCACTTTAGGTAAGACCTCTCTGTTAGATGAATAGTTCCTTCTCTTATGGAAATGGCAGCATTAATTAATAAAATGTTGGCACACAAATTATCAAATACATATCTATTGACTCAAACAAAAGGTTGTCAGCAGTGCATACATCTGTCTTGATTCAATTTAAACTAATTTTCCTTTACAGTCTCAAAGTGGATAGGACAATAGATTATTCAGAATCACGCCTACATCTTTTTTCTCTCTATTCAGAAAGGTAGAGACACTTGCCCCAACTTAGATTATTTGGGAAAGTACTGAAGAGAGGGACTTAAAAGTATGAGAAAGAAATTATTTTGTAAAATAATAAATTGATCTATATGTATCTTTTTTTCTGTTATCTTTAAATTCACAAAATCAGCCAAACTAACTTACTATGATTGTTACCTTTGGAGAATAAGTAATCTGGAATTGCTTAGAGGCAGCTGCAAGGAAACTTATTCAATAAAGCTTTTCGAATGTCGACAATGTGCTAGGCACTATAATTTAAGAAAGGTTCATAATTAGATTGCATGTTTTGAATGTACATTGATACTTCCAAATTGCTTAAAATCCCTTCCAGTAAATAAGTATTCCGTGACATCCTCAATCATGCTTACACCATTAATTCACTGAACAAATCATTTCTTTGATTCTGATCTCCTCTGAACAATCAAAATTGAAATCATCACACACTAAATTACCGGGGCTTTATTACTATGATTAAAATTCTCCTCAGCTTTCTCTTCTATCTTCTAAACAATTTCAAATCATGTAACCTTTCTTTTTTGAAAGAGGAGGATTCTATTTCCCAACTACTTAATTGCATTAGATGGTTTCCTTTGGATCCTATTCAATTATCTTTTTGCTCTCTTTAAAGTGGGATGACCCAGAATGGGTGATAAAAGTCCCACAGACGGTGAAGAGGTGATGGCGATGTTAATAACCATAATAGTTGCAGTAGTTGGTCAACATGTGCTGAGCACTAAGTGCAGACACCCGTGAGGGCTGTGTGTGCCTGCTTGTGGCATCCTCGCATGACTCTCCGCAAAGTGGTCAAGCCTACGTGGATGTCTGTAAATGGACACCTTCATCTCTGAGCGGCTGACCTTTCCTCAGGCCTGTTCATGTTTTCAGCCTCTAACTCCAATTTTGTAACCTCTGGCAACAGGAAGGGCAGAAAAACCCAAAAAGGAGACTGGTACCTCACATAAGACTTCAAGGTGAGTGAGCCAGAGGAAGGCTGGCGTAACACACAAAGACAGAAGAGAAGGAGAAAGGATTCGCCCTTCAGAAGCAAGACTAAAACCTGGAAACCCAGAAGTGTCGCTGAGTGGGAGAAAAGGGTACCAATGTATGATCTCTTCAGGAGCAAAACAGCAATAACACCCTGTGAGGCTGAAGTGATGGCATGGGAAGGAATATTTCAATCACCTACATTAGTGTCCATATCTGGGAACAAAACTACCCCTTAATCCCAGTGGTCCCTAGGAATGCATAGCTCTTACTGACAAATAACTAGTAATAGTAGGAAGAGGAATAATGATCATCAATGTCATAGAATGCCATTTAACACTCTTTCAGTCTTTACGTGAGAAAGTGTTCAACATTTCAGATTTTTGGCATGTCACAGTGAGTGAGGTAGGTGCTTTATTATTCCCATTTTATAGAGGATACCTGAGGCCCAGAAGGAAAAGAAACAGAGTGACAGTTAACATACAGGGTTAGCTGCGTCACTGAGTGATAATTCTGATTTATCAGTCATTTTGATCCAATAAAAGGAATCAAACATTCCATTGCTGATGAGGCAATAGTAAATACCACCAACGAGAATTCCCAATTCTGACTTACTTATGCCAAAAGGACTCAGTCGGGTAGTACGCAGGGTATGGGAAAATGTGGAACCCCAAACACACCACATGACTCTAGACACCAGAGTTCACATCTGCTCCCCTTGGGATTTCTCACCAGCATTTGATATATACATTTTTTAAGTTCAAAAAGAGAGACAGTGAGAGCATGAGTGTGGGTGGGGCAGAGAGAGAGAGAGAGAGAGAAAACGCCCCAAGTAGGCTCCATGCTGTCAGCACAGAGCCCGATGTAGGACTCGATCTCATAAAATGCGAGATTATGACCTGAGTCAATATCAAGAGTTGGAGGCTTAACTGAGAGCTACCCAGGCACCCCACACCAGCACTCTTAATATGAAGCTCCTAAAATGTTTCTGGGTTCTGTTTTCCTGCGTATTCTTTGATGAAGACATTAATGAGTCAGCAAATGTACCACATGATGGTGACAGGGGGAAGGGAAGTTAGAAGACTCTATTATATTTATAGAGCGGATAACCAGCTCCAGGAAAGGAAGAAAATTTAAAAACTAAAATACAAATACTAGCCTCAACTACCAGTTCTATCATATGAAATGTAAATAACAAGAAAGCCTCATAATTGAAACAATCCAAATGTTCCTTAAAGTGACAGTTAAAAAAGGAAAATCTATTTTTAGGATATGGTGATTTTGTTAGACAAACCAAAGATAAAACATAGTCTTAGAAAATAATAACACCTCCAGAAGAAATCTTAGATTTTTTAAGAGATACTAATTTTAGAAAACCAGATGTATGCGTGTGTGTGCGTATCTTACCTGATGAAAACCAGCTTGACTTTTGATGGGGCAGTCTTAATAATGGCAGATGCATTTTGGTGGCTTCTTCCATACAGGATCTGATTGTTTATCTAATGGGGAAAAAATAAAATGCACTTGTAAAAATGCAATATGTTTGGTTTGTATAAAAATATACATGTATATATTTATACATTTATACAAATATATGTGTATATACTTGGAATTAAACAATGAAGTCCATTCATGTTTAAGTGGATCCATGTAGGGCTCTTTAATGCTAAAAAATCTTAATATTGTTTGTAGTATGGATTAAAATACTAATTCCAAATAGCTATTAAAATCTCTTAAATTCAGTTTTGAATGCAGCTAATAAAGAGCATAGTCCTTGAACCTTTTGCTAAACTTCAAGAGAGCAGCAGTTGAGCTAAATGTAAAAACTTTATGACAGATATATTTCCTACAGCCTTTCCAGATTTCTAAAAAATGTAGAAAACAGACTAAACTGTGGTATTCACCAGACCTCTGGAGGGCCCATTAAACACGATTCTGTAAATGTGTCAAGGTTATTACATAGCATAAATTTTGTTACTCCAGAGGAGGTAAATATTCTATCCCCATTTTAAATCAAATTTTAGATCAATTGCATGGAAACATTTTACTATACACAATCAATGAGCCATCTGCTCTTATCCAAGATATGGTGGAATTTCAACTTGATTGAGTTCGCCTAAATATGCTCTAAAAACATTGACATTCTAAATTTTTTTACTCCAGATTTTTCCAGTGATAAACTATGATGATAGTCATAATCAATCTTTTATTTCATCCAATTGATAATAGCTCACACAGTTTTGGCTTTTCTCCTCGTCTCTTTAATAACTAGTTAATGATCTATACTGTCCCAATTTAACGGAGGCCTTGAAACTGTCTATTTAAGAGACAGTACAATATACTATATAAGGAATAGAAAATAGGGATTTCAGTTTTTTGTAATTAGCATTGGTCTGTCCTTGAGGCCTCTGAAATTTTGTGTTCGAAGACATACCTGGAAAAGGTTTTTGTCATAGCAGTTATATGAGAAAGTGTATGGAAATGAACAGAGGAGGGAGCTGTCTGAAATGAAGCTCATCCATCATCTTGAAGTGGTAACGTGGGGATGTACATCAAAGTCTGTTGCAGAGACTAAACTGAAACTACCTTCTCACTATGTCCCTCATTCTATCAGCTTTTATTCTTTACCAAGATAACCTCCCAGAAACCCACTGATCTCCACACTATTTCTCTGTGCCTCAGTTTCCTCTTCTTTAAAAGGAATTTAAGCACTTGCTTCATAAAACTGTTGTGAGAATTACATGAGATAATGCCTTTAAATTTTATTTATAATCATCTTTTTTTAATGTTTACTTATTTATTTTGAGAGAGCACACATGCAAGTGAGAGGGGAGGGGCAGAGAGAGAGAGAGAGGGAGGGAGGGGGAGAACCCCAAGCAGGCTCTGCGTTATCAGCGCATGAACTGTGAGATCATGACCTGAGCTGAAATCAAGAGCTGGTTGCTTAACCGACTTCATTTATAATAATCTTAATACCAAAAATTATTTTGGGGGTGTTCAAAATTACTCATCTTTTCTGTTAAGGTTTTTATCTTTTTTAATAACATGTATTTAAAAATGTGTCCATCCTCTGTATGATACTATAATGATGGACACATACCATTATACATTTGTCCAATCCTACAGAATGTACACCACCAAGAGTGAACCCCAATGTAAACTATGCACTGGGAGATGATGATGTGTCAATGCAGGTACATCAACAATAACACATGTACCACTCTGGAGAGGGACGTTGGTAGTCTAAAAGGGACATATGGGAAATCTCTGTACCTTCCTCTCAATTTTGCTGTTCTAAAAAAATGTATATGTATATGTGTGTGTGTATGTGTGTGTGTGTGTATTGAAGCGCCCACCGTTTAAATTATAGGTTTTCTCCTAATGTTTTCATAGTTTTATTTTTCTTATATTTACATTGTACTACCTAACTCATTATAAGGGGGAAAAATGGTTAAGTCATGTAATGATAGAGTCATGTGAAAAAGAATAATGACATAGGAAATGTCCAACTGTGCTAACCTGGTTACAAAACAGTATGTCTGCCATGATCGCTTTTTTTTGCAAACCGTATTTCTCAATCTCTTCCATTTACAATGAACAACAAATACGGATCTTTTAAATCACAACTCAAAAATGAGATGACATGTGGAATATGCGTGACTCAAAGTCTGGCATTCAGGTAATTATTTGCGAATGTCTTCCCCACCGTGTCTGGCCTCTGCTTTCAGAAAGCAGACCTATCAAATCTTCCCGTCTTTGAATCCTGTGGCACTACATTTAAAAATGTTCTCTTGTCGCGCTTACGCCTCACCTGACACGGTCAAGCCAATCCTTGTCAGGTGATAAGCATCAGTGCAGGCACCTGGCATTTACTAAACTGGGCAAAACTTGTTGAGGGCAGGAACCATGTCCTCCACTTGGTGTTTGCCAGCCTGCCACGCGTAGCCTGCACACAGCGGTGCTCGGCGAGACATCCAAAATTGCAGAGCCCTGAATGCAAATGGCTCTTTCATTAATCAACTGCTACTATGCTTTCTCTGAGGTGGGCTCCAGTCTTCAAAGGGATTTTTTTTTTCTTTTTAAAGTCTTTTTTATTAGCAAAAGCTTGAACATACAGAAAATTGAGCTGTTTCATCTTTATGGAGATGCCTGCTTTTTAGCTGTGATCTTCCATTTTGATAGGATAAAATGTATGGTACTGTTATTCTAAGAGGGAAAAATTACAGCCCAAATGAAGAAAGCAGGTCATTAATTTTAATTTATCTAAGAGTAAATCTACAGTTATGTCTTCATGGTGCTGTTTGTGAATATTCAGAGGCTCTGGCTGTAGAAAGGCGGAACAGCTTGCTTGCTGTGGATGTTTTTTCCAGTGCCAACAACTGTGCCATTTACTGTTATGGTAGCTGCTCCTGCCAGTGTTTGGAGGCCTCTGGAGAAACTCAGTTCTGCAGTGCAAGACCAGGAACAGAATAAGAAACTCAACACAGAGTGAAACCTGATTTAACAGGATTATGTCAAAAAGGAAAATGCAGATCTCTGGCTTTAAAAATCTAAGACAAAGTCTCTCTTCTGACTTCAGAAATACGTTAGTAGCCTGTGAGTTCTAAGACAGGAAGGGCTCTTTTGTGTTTTCTTGGATCTTATTTAATATACAACAATTTCACTACTTAAATGAAAGGCACATACAGCTTCCAACTGCATAAGCAGTTTTTGTATTTCTTCATCACTAAAGGAAACACACGCCAGAGAAAATTCAGTAAGTAATTAGAAAGAATATGATGCATTTTATGCACAATTAACTTTAGACTGTCACTTATTCTATTTCTGAGAAGCTGCTGTTCTCTGAGGGCACTATTCTTTAAACAACAGATGTAGGGCATCTTCTAAGTATAGAACAGGCTAAAAAGAAAGCACTTTATACCTCCTGGAAGTCTTTCAGGTCAATTCTAATTAATAACAGCTATCATTTATCTGTACCAAACATTATCCTAAGCTCTTTAGGCACACTATCTCATTTAAATCTCAGAGCAACTGGGGTATTATGTACTTTCATCAGATGATGATAATCCTAAAGCACACCTAGAGGTCAAATCTGTATGGTGCACATAAAAATCAGATGATTTTGAAAGTCATCTTTATAAAGATGTCTGTTAAATAAACTCTGAGTGGGAACAGGAGGATGTGGTGACCTACCATCGTAGGTCATAGAGCTTTGAGATACAGAAGTCGGAATCAAAGCATCTTACCACAATGTACAGAGGAAATGCCTGAGAGTTGACTGCTAGGCTTTTCAAGTCTGAAATGCAATGTGGAGTCCCCTAAGACTGTACTTCTCTTCGTGCAAGCAAACTGCAACTTGAACAATATTATATACTTACTACCCTTTTTTTCATTGTACAGATACTGTATAGATTGATCCCCATTTTAATTTTTTCTGACTCATGCCAAAGGAAGACAATTAAAATATTTCATTTTGGGGCAAATACTGCTCCCATTCTTTTAGAATATGAGTGATCATTCAGATTATCAAGAAGTTAGAAAAAATATTATCATTTCCTATTTACTTCCAGTAAACTGAGGCGGTAGAGAAGTGCCTTTCCCAAAGTTTCTCCTTTTGAAGGTGACTCAATGATACAGAAAAAGAGTAATAAATTATTTAGATATGTCCTTATTTTTGTTATTATTCTTACTGGTGGGAAGAACCATCCTAAGTTCTGATTTAGTGTTCCCATTACACCTAAATTATCTTTTTATTATCTTAATAGCTGAGATCTAGAACTCTTCCACTCAAGAATAACCATATATCCTACTTCTGGGACAGTCCAGTTTATGCATGTTGAGTGACACTCGTAACGATCCTCCACATCTTTTCTGAGCTTCTGCGAGGTGGCCATATTCTGCCACATGGATGAAGGAGCAGGAAAAGCCATCACTTCCTGAGGTCCCCAGGCAACCCAATCTCCAGGTTCTGGGATGGACACCCATACTATTACAATAAGTTCTCCCCTTTTTGGTTAAATCACCTTGAACTAATTTCTGTTCTTTCCCATCAAAAAAGTCTCCACCAATACAGTATCTGGGGCCCCTATTTCTAAATACTAACTTATACATTCAAGTGATATACCTCTTTTTATCTCCTAGTCTTATGCTCTCTCAGACACATAGTAATTTATCCTGGCATTCAAAAAGAAAAGAAAGTAGACAAAGGAAAAAGGCTTTCTGACCCAAGGAGATTTCTATGCTCTTGAGTTACAATTCTGATTTTCTTATCTGTTTGGTTTCCTCTTCTGAATAGGGCTTTCTGAGACCTCCACATGGTCAGTAACTTCGATCTCAAGCTCAGGGGGTCCCGGTCCCAGAAAGACACTGATATTTTATCATGGGTAAATTAACTCATCTTTTCCTAAATTCTTAATTTCTAGTTCAATGAGAACAGGGGCAAATGATAGCAGCCCTAGATACTGAAGACAATAGCCTTAAATAAGAAACATCTGTTTTT